AGCACATGCAACCTTCGGAACGTGCATGCCAGCGAAATCGGTTTACACGCGTCAGCGTGACTGATAATGCAATCTCCGTATGAGACTACGAAACTACGCTCATGAAAGTGTAAATAAAATCTCACAGTTGGTAGAAGTGACGTTGCAATTTTGAGTGTTACAATTAGTTTACTTGTCACGTTTCGCTTCTCTCACTTTGTAAGGTCAAACTATGTATACATAGATATATATATATATACACATATATATATGAATTGAAATACAGTTATGCCATACATCCAAAAGGGAATTAGTCGCGAGACATTTTAATGCCATTAGCTCGCAGCGGTTTATCTCGAACCAGGCATGCATATGTTCTATATGTGTATGAAGTCTAATGCGTCACGTAACCTGTTCGTGGATATGAGACATCGGAGTAAATTGACACAGCTTTACTCGACAAGCGGTTAGGATTATTAAGTAATTTCTACACGTTTAACTATACGCTTAATCATAAATGAATACGCTCTATATAGGCATATCACATTTTCTTTTTTATATATATATATATATATATATAATTATCGAAATAATGTTTATACGTATTTCAATTAAATAATGTTTTATTTAAAGCAAATTTAAACGATATCTCCGAAAAATTTGCTCATGTAAAAAAATACGGAAAAAAAATATTTTAGACGAAAGATATGTATCAGCAGATTGTGAACTTCTCGTACCATGTATACCGCGTTTGTAAAGTCAGTCGTGTAACGAGTGTCAGGGCTCATAGTGATCCCCGTCACGTGTTTGAACACGCATATACGTCGCACGCGTGTTGGGTGCACACGAATGTCACCCGCTGTCATTCTATGAACGTCGAATAAATCATTGCCGACGAGAGATATTCTCTGTTTGCTTGACGGCCGAATCTCTTGCTTTGAAAGCTTAAAACTTGCCAATTCAATGCTACATATACGCACCGCAATAAAGTATCAAAAACATGTATCCCGTTTTATTAAATCGTCAAGGAGTGATAAAACTATAAGCTGACTGTCATTGAAGAATTTGACATGAAAATTAAAGTCCAAATTTTTGCTTTGCGAGAATTCTTTAAAAAGTATATATAAAAGAGCTAGGCTTTATGGGATTAATAGAAATTTTAGAAGATTCAATCAGATAGATAAATGCAGACATTTATAATTATATGTATATTAAATATTCTACTCGAAATAGTCAGAGATTCAGTTACAATAACTAGAATTTTGATTTAGTAGTCAGAATTTGTTTTGTTTGTACTTTTTGTTGATATAATCAGAACATTTTTCTCAGTATGTAATCGAAACAAATTTAATATATGTATATATTTTGTATGTATATTTAAATACTTTAATTACGAATACATAAAACTGTGTATTATAACAGAAAAATATGCTGATAATATTTACGAGTAAGTTAAATATTTTAATGTAAATTGTGTTATTATATAAATAGAAAGAATTACATAAAAGATTAATTAAAGTGTACTAATGTTTAATTGTTTAATATTACGTATTATCGATGAAACAATTAATTCGATCCATCACACACGCGATTGCAGCTGCTTGTAATGCGTGTAAGTTGAAACAGAATAAGATAGAATCTAAAATCACACATCACCATTGTGCTCAGCGTCGCCTATGTACATACTTAGGTATGTAGATTGCGTGCCTCGACACGTGCCATTAATGGTTGATGACTCCGAAACTCTCTCACGCCATTTTCTATCCCCTTCGCGTACTCCAATAAAAGATCGACTCCCTCATCGCGAAAATGACTTTATCGTGCGATAACAATTCTTATTACGTGTAAATTACATGGCACATTTTCCGACTTACGGTTTCGTGACACAAATTTACACTTTGTGCCACACATACAACTTTTCTCTCGCTCATGGTTAATCTATTAATCACGATTGTGTATAATATGCCCGACATATTCGACACCTTATGCTTGGAAATATTCGTTTTTGTAAGAAACAAGATAGCATTATTTGCACGATGTAATCAATCTCTACAGACACTGTTTCTTCACCAACAAACCGCATATCGCGCTAATATAGAAATGATATATATCGTTAAAAGCTCACCATTACGTCAATGCGTCGTTCCTCATGCTTTGGCGTCCGATGCGAACATTCCTCGACGTACGGACCAATTGTCGACCGAATCCGCGTCAGTTCGCGCGTCGCACCAATTCATGATCGATGCACTTCTTCGCAAATACGTCACGTTTCCGAACGGCAAACGACCGGAAATGGGACGCGTTCGGGATGAACGCTTTTCGAACGAAATCGCCAACACGCGAGATCGCGTCCGTCGATTCACATTGAACGATTGCGTTCCTACGAAATGCACGCACAATACTCGTCCTTCCGATCCTGCACACTCATTCACGACTCCATATACGTAAATCGAAAATTCCAGGCTATGGTCTTGAGATCGGAACTCCGATCACGAAGAGATTGCCATGGGTTATACAGGTTAGGTTGATCCTTTACAATCTCGAATTAATCACGAGTGTCACGATATACATTTATTTTCACCGTACCAAAAGCAAAAAGGCGCGAAAAGGAGCTTAGATCACACCAAGTACGTAACGTTAAAAAAGCGTTTGAACCTCACGTGTGGTACGCACAATAAATTGCGCGATTAACCGCTAAATTCGGCGCACCTCGCGGAAATACTTTTTAATTCCGGACTTAACTTTTAACGGTAGCGCGAACGTGGTAAGGCCGCGCAAAAAGAAGGGGTTGCTAAGCCTAGCCGGCGGGGTGCGATGCACACGACTCTCCAGCGGCAGTTGACGCGACACTAGAGAAAATCGGAGTTCGCTTGCCGCCACGCAGGACTCCGGACGCCTGCGCTCTCCGTCCTCGCCACCACGAGCCACAGGATTTCGCATAAACAGCGCGACCCTGGTATTCCACGAGATGAATGTATGTGTATCACGTCGAAAGTTCCCACACACAATTCGTACATTATCTTTTACTCGAACGGACAGAAGGAATTATTCGATTGTCGATCGCGAAAATGTTTATTCGATTTGTTTTTCAAACAGTTGTTTCAACGGACGTAAACACGCAGCAGTTTCACTTGTGTTAGATATTTTTGTAATCAGAGGTTAATCCGTTTAAATCGATAAAAGTATTGCGGTAGAAATTACCAATTTAGATGGATATTATATAAAAGATTTTGTGATAAAAAAATTCACAGCAAAATCCATAACGATTTCTATTATAAAGATTATTGAATCCGTTATATCGGAACGTTAAAAAGAGATCCATATTATACTATGTATAATGAAAGCATAACACTATTCTATAGATAGACGGTGGCGTCATGCCGTCGCGTCGAGTGAAAATCAACGAGATAGATCAAGTTTAATTCGCATTCAGCAAGTTATCACGACTATATATAGTCAATTAAGCTATAGCCAACGGAATAACTATTTGTAGTCTCTAAATATCTATCCCGTAGACGCTCGGAACAATTTACGCCGGTATAAGTATATCATTAGTACATCGTAAAAGTGATTACGTGCGCTTTAAATAGCTGGCAATAAAAGGAACTTCCTCTTTAATTCGATATAACGTCATGGATCATTAACCGTCTGGCCGTTCTTCATCATTTTATCACCAAGATACCCAATGATCGCGTGAACGACGATTTTATCGTTAAGAAGTGTTAAGGAAAATTATTGAATGGTTCGATTCACCCGCGCACCCATCATCGTATACAGCAATTATTTAATTTCTTAATAAATGTATCTGATTTTTTACACGTATGATCTTTTTAATAAAGTTTATATAAAAATTTTTATAAAAAAATAATCCGTAGTAAGATTTTTATGCTATTCTTAATATTTATATTGAATGTAAAATCGCGTTTTCTTTCACATTATTTAAATTTAAATGAGATACTCAGCTATTGTTTCTCTAGATAATTATGGAATACTCTCTCTTTAACATATGACTTTGCATAAATTAATTAAAATGGTAAATCAAAGATATCTCTCTTTTTCCTCATGTAAAATTATATACATTTTATGTAAATGTATAATGCCAATAACATGAATTCACGTAAGTACTAGATTTTTCTTCCCTCACGCTTTCTAGCTGACTATTCTAAAGTTTATTACGCAACGTAATCCCTTTTTCTTTTCACGACAAAGTTAGTCTGACGTAACATAGAATGATGGTCTCGTTTAAGTTTGCAAAGTGCTATGTCATATAACGGTTTGAACTATATAGAATTAGTTTTTCTAATAACTATGTAAATATATATAAAGATTAATAGATCGAAAACAGACGTATAAAGCGTTCAAAAGAAAATAATTATTCTCTTTAATAAACTAAATATAGTTGATTATAGAGATAAAAACTACAAAATTAAACAAAGATATAATGTACTCTACTTACTTTACTAATGCACTAATGAATATGCAGTTGAAGAGAAATTCTTAAGAAGGAGAAACGAGACGTAATGATGGCGTTTGAAAAATGAGTAAAATTCCTATGGGAAAGCTTTTATAGATCCATTTGCATCAGAAACATTTCTCTATCATCAATTATAACTGAAAAGCAGAGATTCCAATATTTCTTTGCCCATCCAATACATGCTTTAATGTCAAACTATCTCAAGACTTAAGATCTTTTACATCTTTGACGTACATTACTTCTCTCGAGATATTTTTCATTGAAGAATACATTTTATCTTATTATAACTAGAAAATCATATGAATATTCTTTTATAATGTACATGTACAATATGAAAGTCAATAAATAATAATTTTTCTAAATAATTAATCCAATGTATTAATAAAAAATTTACATATTAATAAACTTAACACGTTGCATATATTAATAAATCCTTTTTCATTCTAACTGAACAGACATATTTTTCTGAATAATATAACAACACAATTCTTGAAACAAACACACAATCAAACATTGTAAATAAGATGCCAACGACAGTTTCGTACCCGGCAGGATTTCAATCTTTAATCATATAATGAATTTTATTGTGAAGAAGACACCAATACACACTTCTATAATTAGACCTTATCTTAAAACAGATACGAAAATTACAGATTCGGTGGATGTTCCGGCAGACGTTCTTTGATTTCATGTATAATCTCCAAGCAGCGCATCTTATACGTCGGCTTCTTCTCGCACTGATGGTGTACGAGGTCCGCTCGTTTATCCCCGTACAACATTTCTTCAAGTTTTTCGAAAGTCGAATTGCAGAAATAAATCGCGATTGATTCATTGTCTATTAACATTACTTGCAAATTGAGTGAAGCAAGAATAAGTGCTGCGTTTCGTGCCTCTGTGTAACTTTTCTCAAATGCCGTCCAGGAGAGATAATTCTCCACATCGAGACCTCCTTCCGCTAAACTCTGAACCAATGAATCGTAATAAGTCCTAGCGAAGAAATCGAAATGACGATCTCTGGTACTTCGATCAGTGGTTAGATACAGACAGCACGCAAAGTCGATAGCCGGAGGAGAGTAACAAAAAAATTGCCAATCTATTAGACAACAACCGTTTATATTACCGGCCAGGTCGTGTCGGAACATTATATTGGTCGCCCAAACGTCGCGATGACAAATGACATTTCTATGTTCCTTCGATGGTGCCAATAACCGTGGAATTTTTTTAACCCATTCAGTAATTTTGCGCTTAACAGCGATCTTCTCTTTATCATCGAATTCTTCAATGAGATCGATCATAGCACAGATACCCGTGAGACCGGACATAGCGGCCTTTTCCGATTTATCGTCCCCCTCGACAAAGAGCACGTCGTTCAGCAGTTGTCCGTAAAGATCGACGATGGTCTGACCGCTCTCCCGACGAAGTCTCTCGTCCAGTAGCAGAGACCTCGAGTGGAGCCTCGAAAGAGTTCTCAGTACCCAAACGCAATGTTCTTTGTCGTACGGTACGTGTTTGTTCAGCGTAGCATAACCATCGATCGTCGCATCCTCTAGAACGATGATGACGTTCCGTTTCCAAAAGTAACACTCTACTATCCACTTTGGAGATCCACTCGCACCCATCCGTCGCACTAGATCCGTGTAAAAGGTGATCTCTTTGTTGAACGTGTCAAACCGTTGCAGGAATTCGAACTGCGGGCTATGAGGCGGCGGTGGAGTTTTGGCGAAGAACTGCAAACTTTGCGTCTCGCCATCGAGTTGCGCCGTGATACAAAGATGATAATATTGGCCGAGGAAACCTTCCGTTTTGTTAAAGGGCTCCAACCGCCAATCGACAAGCCGGAAGTTAGTACTACCGAATTTGCGTTCCAATATTTTAGTAATGTCACAATCGGTCAAAAGAGACGTTTCCCGACGAGTCTGCGGAGACATCGGTAACACGGAGCATGTCTTTATCTCCGCCATCGTACCTACTTGTCTGTTAATTGTAAGTAACATCGACGACTGTACACCGAATTTATATCGCACCCAACTCTCACACGATCGTAAAAAAACAAAAGTTGTTCTAACAAACTCAGCGAGAAATATACTCCCGCAAATATTTAACGTACTATCTTCGTACAAAGGCTTCATAAGTCGCAAATAGACAGCTCGGCAAAGGACAGGTGACGCAGTGACACGCAAATATCTCGAGCGGATTGATATAATTTATGTGCAGCATTGATATAATTTATGACACCCTGTAAATCCGTCCGACATACTTTAGCAATGTGACGAGGAAACGAAGCTCATGATATACGCCGTTACGAGCAAAAAAGCTTGTATATCGCGATAACGTGTCTGCGTACCGAAAATTTACCGACGCCTGCACCGCACACCACCGAGTGCAGTCGACTCGAGAAAAATGTTGCGGGATGAAGCTCGAATACTCGCGGCTTACGATATTTATCTTGGGTATGTGGCGTCATGATGAACAGTTACGGTAATTATCAGTTTGTGGATTATGCGGAAACACGTGAATTTAGATATTTAGAATTACAGAGATATTGTATATATATTGCGGTTATATAATTGATTCATCGAATAACAAACATTAGATTATAGTTCACTACCATCGAAATATCGAAAATGTAACTTTAGATTATTATATGTATGCGCGTATATTATTGTTAACAATTAATCCGCACGAAACTTGCACGACCACCAATTAACATCAACGACGTGCCAGCTAAACGGGTCCGGGAAAATAGATCTGTTAACGTTAATTATGTGTGTTACACAACCCACTAACGTACACCGCTTAATAAAATTACGTGCGGATCGATTTCACCGCCGTGTGTAATCGGAAACGCTTGGCAAATACTTACGCGTGATTGTTATGCGAGTGAAGGAGGAAGGAACGAGAGGCTATATCAGTATAACAGGCTAGACAGAGAAATCATGAAAATCCATCGGGTGCTGTAAAACAATTCGAAGAAGAAACTTCACGAGCCGGGAGCCGCCAAAATTTATTTGCTCTTACTATGAATGTATCTAACTTCTCGGAAGCAACTATTAATGGGGTCACACACTATATAACCCTTTCGGCGCCGTTACTTTACGGTACCAAAGGTAATTCGATTAACTGCGTCCTGAAGCTAGGAACAGGGACGAGCTCGCTAATATCAATGTATAACGATAGAGAAACCATTTAAATTTATTTCTGATAAAGTTTTTACCGTAGTAGCGTACAGGTTTTGTCTGCTATAAAATTAAAGTCTCCTCAATTTTATTGTGAGAATACAAAGAGTACAAATTTTAATTATATTTTTAAACATTGTTGGTAAAATATTTTTGTATGTTGTAAAAAAAAAATATAACTTTTCTCTAATATTTTCAAAAACTGTTTTAATGGCGAGAATACGTATTGCAAAAAAATTTCAAAATATAACTTCCTTAAAATGTTATATGATTTTAACATCCTAACAAATTCAATTCGTTTCTATGAGTCTCTCCTGCTCGAAAAATTGTGCATTACATCGTATATAAATAAATAATGACAAAAAAGGGGTCACGAGAAGTCTCTAATTGCTCGTCGTCACGCAGTGCCGCGAAAACGTCGCCAACATTTTCCTTTTTCTACGTGAACAGCCATATAGAGCCCAGTAAAAGTGGAATTCTCATTAATTGACGTGGTACTAATTAGACTTTTAATTAACGAGTCGGAAATAAACAACGATTTGCGAACAGATGTCACATTGCTCGTATTTCTAATGATTTAACTATCTACAGTAGAAGTAATGTCGACGCCAATTAATGCACATAAATTTGCACAGTCTTCGCAGTAGTTATTAGCAATTCGTAACCCTCTACTCTCATCTCTATCTTTTCAGTACTAAATGGCTCACTTCGCACGCAATAAATCTCCTTCTGAAAAAAAAGCCAAATCGTAGTTTTTCCAAATTGCTCTATTGTATCATAAAATGCGCTTTTATGAAAAAAATATATCAATATACCGAATGCTCTGCATTCGTTCATAAATTGAATACTCATGTCGCCCTTCGATTATACCTCCGTCTAGACAAAGTCCCGCGAGCTTTACATCGATCTAATGATGCTACCATCTGTTATTTATTCAATCGCATGTCCTTCACATCGTCTTTTTTTGTACACGAACATATAATCACGATGTCCAAGAAACGTTCGCTTTAAAATATGCAAGGACCGTTTCAGATAACTGACTTACTGCCGCAACGAAGCGATACCAGGTGGTGGTACGGTTATGTCTTCAATATCTAGCGTTTAAGCATCGAAAAGCTACGATAATCGTTCGCGTATCACAGAGAAAGAGTGCAATGTTAAATCTTACGTTATTCCTCCCGCGATGTGTATAAACGGCGGTAAAGAAAAATTTCTTTCTGACAAACATCGCCGGCTGAAGTCGGCACTTTCCAAGTCTTGAGTTTCAAGGATCTCGCGACATTTCGTATGAAACTCGATGCCGAGTTGCAAGCTGAGAGCGGAAATGTATACATGTCTGTATACGTACACTATCTCCCGTCCTTCTCTCTCCCTCTCTCTCTCTCTCTCTCTCTCTCTCGCTCTCTTTTTCTCTGTGACATTTCCTTTTGAGTATTCGGAAGTAAAGCAATCCCGGTATCAACCACACTTCCGCGATGCCATACGACAAAGAAAACAGAAATGCCTAGGGATGCAAGAGATGTTCATGCTTTGAAAAATACGAAATCCAACTATGTTTTGATTAAATGCAAAAAAAAATACTTTGAAATCTTAAACTGCTATTAAAAAGCTACAAGAAGTAATTCGAGATATAAATTACGGATTGATAACGCATAATATTTTCGTATTACTTATCAGTATATAGAATGTAAACATAAGATATTTGTAAATATAGAGATGCACTCAAGAATCTCTGATGGTACTTAAAGAAAATATTGCTCATATAAGATATCTTTAAAGGCATCGAACTCATGAACTGACCGATCGATGCGTTCCATTTAATCTTAAAAGCGACTTTATGACAATCTATACTTCGCTTTTATATAGGTACACACGTAGAAACCTTTTCACTAATCTAACCAAAAAATAAAGCCCGACAGTAAAAATCTGTACTCCTCTTAATATACAATAACAGAGAAAGATAGGTAAAGAGAGAGAGAGAGAGAACTCATAAAAAAACACCCCAAAGGCTAAAAGTCTTTTGCTCAAAAAATAACAATATTTTAAAAATATATGATATACATATAATAAAATAACTGAGTCTCCCTCTAGTATTGCATAATACTAAATTTTTAAATATAAAGTAAAAATATAGCAATAATAAATTGCAATTAGGTAGATTATCAATGTTATGAAAAGATACGGAAATCGGAAAATGTTTCTTTTAAATTTTCATGCAAATTTCCGAAAGATTTAAAAAAACTTGATTTAAATTCATATCAAAAAGAATATAAATGTTACAGGATTCCTTCGTGGAGGTAAAAAAATATTTATCATGCCGCAACAAAAATAATTCATTAATCAAAAGCACCATACGTTGTCCGTAAATCGGGTGGCGGGTTTACGGTACTATACTTTCATTTTACCCGTTCTGCTCCCGGACAAATCCTATACATTGTCAATATTGTTACACGTTTAGCCAATGTTTGAAAACACAACACAGCACGCTAATATTAATTGGCAATTGTGTTAGCGTATTCTGTTGTATGCGTCAAATGCTCATTTATCGAAACAATTTTAATTAACCGCGATCAAAATTTTAAACGACGCGTATAAAGTTCCATAAAATAGACTTTTTCATCAAAATCCGAAAACGAGGAATAGTCAAATCGCAACGTCGTTATCAGGATAAAGTTAATTAAAGATTACTCGCTTAATAACTGTATCAATAACAACGACAAAAAAACCGTCAAGAAGAAAATAAAACGGAGTAGAACAAGTTTCTTTTATTTGCCATAAAATGCAGCTATTAATTTTGGTATATCTCTTTCGACTGTATTTCGTTTCGAAATAAAAAATATATAGATTACAGATGCCGCCTAACGTTTTATGACGTTTTATGACGCAAGGAAGGTATTCAACTTAGAAAGTTTCACGTTCTGCTCCATCAAGGATCAAGATGAGATTCCGTCTGTAGAAATCTCTGGTTTTGCTCGATCGAGCAAATCTCATGTCAGGATAATCGATTTGGACTCTAATCGGTCGACCGTACCAGTGATTAGCAGTCATTGGCACGACGTGACGTTTGTTCTCCTCGTGTATCTCCGCCCAAATGAGACGCGGCTTCGTGCGATCGCATCGTGGTTTACTCGGATCGAAGGGAGTTACGTCATGCAAACGATCGTACGCCAATCTTGTGTCAGCAATTCTCTTCTCCCGCTTGCGATTACCAAAATATGTCGTCGAGTGTCGCTCAGTCGTCGGTTCTACCTTATTATTCATTTAATCGTGTCTCGCCAATATTCGTTATTTATTCTATTATTTTCGTTTCCAAATATTTCTATTTATCATTTACAGAATTATAAAAAAAAACTTTTTTTTAAATAATATATAAACTACCACGGATTCCTATCATAAATTTTATGTGCAAATGTATATGTGTGCAAACACAAATTAAGTTGGCTATTCTTCGTGACATTGCATTATTAATACCTCGTAAAAGTATTAGAGAAAAATTATAGCGACAAATATAAATTATAGAATAAACTTACGACTTTTAAACGTTTCATCTCGGTACGTATGCTAACTTCCTGCCTCCGCATACGAATCCATGGCGTAACGAACTCGGTGCGATGCATGCTCCAACGTCCGCTGACAATTTACACTTGAGATATATTCGCGACGAAACGGCTCTACATACAAATAACCAACCTTAAACATGATATAGTGCACTTTTTGCGAAATAAACGCGAGAGACGCGAGAGACGCGTGAAACTGAACGTAACGCGTACAAACCACGAACGGAAACGGAAATTAACCTAGAGTGGCAAAGACGAATTGCTCGGACAGTTTGGCGCGCTTGTTTCAAAGAAGTGACAAGTGACGAGTGTGGCGTACCGACGATGGCTAGGAAACGCCATCTCGTGAAATAAGCAGCAAGCACAGAATATATTAGTTCAAAGAGTTTATGTCATGCGGCGCTGCCAGTACATTTACCAAAATCGAACGTCATGAGCGATGTATGTGATCGGCCGGACAGTGAATGCTAAATTGCACGGAAATAACAGGAATAACAAGTAGGATTTAACTCGGTTCAGGTAAAAACATTAAATGTTTATGAAAAATATATTTATTTCAGAAATGTTTAATCATAATTTTGATACTTAAAAAATATTTTTTAATTTAAGAAACTCCTATATATATTTAACATAAATTTTATTATATTATTTTTTTTGTAATATACACTCTAATTTGCATAGACCTTATATTATTTCTTTTTGTTAATACATAATTTGAAATAAAATGTTTCATGAATTATATGTATTTAAATAATACTTTTTCAATGTAATAATTTAAATGACAATTTTTAATATTCCATCTTTTTATATATTAATATTTTTATTTTTATTTACTATTATTTAATTATATACCGAAGGAATTAATAATTGCAACTTACCAAGGAAAGACATAGAAAATACAAAACACAAATTTATAAGTACGTGTATCATGTATATAATTAAAGTTATCGCAATTACTGTTTAATTAAATTAAAAGAGGTTTTAGAGAAAATTCTCGCATAAATTATTTTTCATTTATAATCAAAACTTTATCATGAATAAATGGATATAATTTATCTGTATTCAGTTATCTCGCTCTGTTTGAATACGAATATGTTGACTTTTTCATTAGTAATCCAAGCACTATGCATGCAAATGACTATGTAAACGATAAGATTAAAAAGGTTTTGATTTCTGTTTAATTCCGCAAAACCAAGAATACAAAAATGAGAAAACAAAAGGTTCTATTTCTTTTTATTACTTTTATCATTTTTCTGGATTTTATTTCCTCTTTTATGTGTATAATGGCAATTTAATAATTTTTCTGCTTGAAAGCACAAGATTTCACGCGTCTAGTCGCTTTACAGTCGAGTCTCACGATTCAACGTGGACAACACGCACATCGTACATTCTAAACTCTTATCGCAAAAGGGCAGGTATACTCCCGAGGTGCAATGCGCCTTTTTCGCTCGCTGTCGCTTCCAAGTAAAATGTTGCCCTTCGTAACATCTACGGTTCACTGTAGTAACGTCAGGTTGCACTTACGAATCCCAAGTGTTCCGCTTATATTTCTCTATTTATTTAACCAAACCTTTTATTATGTACAGTATTGATTTTATTCGTGTTTTCTTTAACTTTCTCTGTGTATTCGTATATTTGTACGTACATATATTGGAAATTACAATAAATAAGAAAGGTAAATCACGTTGCTTCTATTGAATGCTCTATAATTAACAATAGCTGTCCTTTCTATTAAAATAAAATCTCTGTTAACGTCAGCACGTCACGCTTTTAAAGATTTACCGGTCTGTTAACGAAAGACAGGAAATAATCGGATTCAGAACAAAAATCCTCTATAGATCACGCTATTCCTTTTCCTTGCATGGTAAAATGACCACGACAAGAATTAATTAGATGAAGGCTTAAGAATAACTTTTATAGCAAATCATGCAGTGAATCTTAAAATTTAAATTAAGTGTTAATTAGATTTTGTGTGACATTTTTTGTAGTGTACTATTACAGTAGCTTTCGCACACTTTTAATACTTGTACTGCATGTATATATATATTTTCTATTAATTCTCTTTTTCATAGCATTTATTATTTTATTAACAAGAAATATAGTACACGACGTTGTTCGCAATAGAATTGAATTTTCGAAGAAATTATATATTTTGTGAATTCATTAAAGCAATATTTTATGAAAAAAATGTAATGGCATTAATGATTGAAATCGATGACATCGTAAAATCTGAGATCGTTTCTTACTTAGTAAAATTACAATAAGAACTTCCATACTCGATTAAAGTGCATTTGCTTAATTTACGTATATATAGCGGTTGTTCTTTTTGTCACGTTCGTTACGTCGCCGCATCGGAACGAGACAGATCTAATCAAGTCAAACTGAGCGCGCGGTGCGGTTAATTACCTAATGAAGTTAGTATGAACAATCATCGGAATTGCGCAGAATCGACAAAATTTCTGAATCACGTTTTATCGTTTGTCAACTCTCGATTTTAAGTTGATTTGTAATATTTTTTTATGTAATAACTAATATCATACGTATTGTATTCGAAATCACTGATGTCATATAAAAGTTTTTTGGGCAGAATCTCTTTTAGCGTCGGTAATACTGTCTTAGAAATTGTTTTTTAAAATTGTTAAAAAAATCCATCTCTAAAATCGCTTCCTTCTTCAACTAAATTTGATTCTAATAGAGTACATGAAAAGTAATGTAAGAAAAAGAAAGAGTCGAGAGAATTTGTGTGTGAGACGATCATTTTATGTCGGTGAAAAAAATCTTTCGCATTTATCTTCAGTGACCAGAGAGGGAATCTCGACCATCGTATCGCTGTGCGAATCGTGCGAAATCCCTCCAAAAATCTCGACCGCGATGGTATAGAACGGAGAGAACGAAAGTACATCTTCGCGGAAATCTCGTATCTACTACGCTAACGTTACTTGACTACTTTGGCCGTATTCCATATACGTGATAGAATCTCTGTGAGCCAATTTTTTTTATCAAAATTTGATCGGAAAATCCTTCAATGGAAAAAAACGAAAGAGTTCGAGGTATCTTTGATCGCAGCCGAAGAAATCGGCCTATGGAGCAAAAGAGACGCTAAAAGGCAAATAGACTAAAGCCTACGAAGTATACGCGGTTCATACGACACACAAGATAGAGCTTAATCAGGTTCGACTAGTTGGCAGGTGCGAGCGTCACGCTTGCAAGAATAAGGAACAAGTAGTAGTCTCTCCGAGAAACTACGTGATTCTGCGCTATCCTGTATTCGACGCAAGAAGATGCAAGTCCGGATCGATAGACCAGACGTATAGCAAAATATCATCTCGGTAGCTTTCTCTATTTCGTGCTTACAGGAACAATGCAAGGATTCTCTATATCGTCATACGCGCTGCCTAATTAAAAGAGGAATAAATTTCCATCTTGATTTGACTCGATCTCATCTTGACGTTCATACGTAGCTTTTCATGAGAAATTCCGTGTCGATTGATCGTCCGGTCTCGCGTAAGTAAACTAATCTTTTACTGTTATGCCAGACAAGTATCCGGAGATTTTTACCGCATTTGTGCCGTGACTGCGCCTATATTTACCGTGGTTCGCGTTCCAGAGAGACGTCTCTTTCTCTCTCTCTCTCTCTCTCTCTCATGAAAAGCAGAGACCCCGTAGAATAGTGTACAGGGTCGGGTCCTCGTTACGATCGGCCTATACGACCGACGTTGAATCGTTCGAGGTGTTCGTGTTAATGGCAACATGTCTCTCTGGTATACCGTTAAAGCCGCCGCAATGCTCACTGAACCTAATTAATGACGCGTTCGCGCTGCGCCGGATATACCACTACGCCTATAAGTGACCAGCTATTGAGGATGGCGCTCTCGAACAGGCGCACGTGCTACCGCTCAACATCCGTCTTACTAGCTGTCACGCTATTACCTACCGCACTTCGACTACTTAGTAGAGATAGGTATGACCATGAATAGATGGGCGGTAGACAGCCGGCACGTGCGGAGCGAGCTCACGGTAAGATCGTTCGCGCTCATATGTATAATTATCTCCCCTTCTTATTCGTTCAGAGATCTCGTCGGCTCTCACTTCCAGGTACTCGTCGCGCCCCAATGATCTTTTTCTCACCAGAATCGCTCGTCCATGACGTCCACGAGTGACGTAAATCAAAACTTTACGTGCTTACTCTTCGATCGAGTTTGCAAATAACATCGAGTAACACGTAAGTCTCATTCCGTAGTCACGTCCGATTCCAAACTCGGGGGGTATGATTAAGTATTTATGTACCTGTATTTAATCCTGGGCGGGACACAATGTAGCGCGCACTCATCGGTTCCGCTCGAGTAATGATTTATGTTTCCCGCACGCGTTCACAGGACGTATACAGCCAGAAGTTGCTTATTATGTTCCGCCGAAATGGCAGGAGCACATAACGTAAAAAGTAAAACACGTCGGAACCTGTGATGAATAACTAACGACACGTATATATGTCGACTCTATCCAAAATATACGTGTAGGTCTTTCAAGTACTAATTTATTTAGCACCATTACCTGCGGGCTACAGTAGTCGTTTGCCAACTGGGATTCCAGCACGCATAATCACTGTGTGTACGTGCGCCAGAATGACTCCTCTCATAATGCCGAGACAGCTGCGTCTTGAGCGACGTCAGGGCGTGGTGCAACGTTTCACGTAAGCTGCGTATAGAAAAGCCGTTGTTCCAACTTACCTCTCGTCTCAGGGCGTAACCCTGTCTTTCATTCTTTTTCTTTCTCTCCACGTAGCTACAAACGACTGGCACAACAACGATACGGACAACGACGATCGCGCGAAGTTAATGCTTAGTTAAGTAATAGGCAACGCGTGAAGTCATGAGCTGAACAAATAGTAGCTACCACTCGATGTGATGGCGTCAATTTATTCCTTTCTTCCTTGTCTTTCTCTTGGGTAACGGACTACCTCGGCCGTCTTGAAACAGCTAATTCAACTCTGCCCCGGAAATGGAGAATGCATTTTACCCATTCGAATCAGGAAACGATATATGCCCTCTGAATACCCCATA